ATCAAGGCTCTGATCCAATCCACCTCTGTGCAACAGGAGGCTAACAGGAGAGCTGCAGAAAACAGTGCAGCCCTGCAGCAACTGGTGCTGGCCCAGGCAGAGTGTGCTAAAGTCCTGACCAAAACACAAATGGAGTGCACTGAGTCCTTGGTAAAACAGATTGTTGTGACACAAGCGGAGAGGTTTAAAGTAGCCTGTGAGGAGCAGCAAAAAGTCACCCAGGGACTACAACATGAAATCCAAGCTATCTCTGAAAAACTGAATGGAGACCCTGATGCTTTGCTTCTGATTGGACCCTTCAAAAGGTTCATTAGCATAATATATGTTTTTCCTTTCTTTTGGCGCCGATTTTCTGATCATTGATTGGTCCACGTTTTAAATCAGTAGCAATAGATGTGCATAAAACAGTGACCCAGTTGTCAGTAAACTTTCAGCCCCTGACGAAGGTGCACATTAGTGGCACCGAAACGCGCGTCGGGTTTTCTTTTCTTTTCCTCACTTCACAGGGCACACTGTCACCATGTGCAGGGACCAACATTCTAAGTATGGTCCTGCACATGAGCACGTACTAATTTGTTCTTTTTCTTTTCCTCCTGCATATTCTTTCCTTGTACGAACGGGGTAGTGAATTCATGTATACCTGGTTTTATATCTAGTATCACAGGCAGCCACGATCAGTCCGTCAATTCTTTTTTTAACAGCAATGTTGCTATTTCTACTGTTTATTCTAGCGGACTTGACAGTATGTATCTGTTGGGTATCTATATAACGAACGTAATCCCATATACAGTTACACAAGTGGCAAGTTTGTTGAATAGTATTTAACAGGTTATTTTCACCCCTCATAGTTACAGGAGTAACACAACACTATCTGAGTAACTAGGCAGCAGCATCACATTAGATTTTGTTGCTAGCTTGCCATACATTTGACACTTTGATGTAAATGCTGTGTTAGATTAGAATTGCTGTCTATGATATTTGTATTTTCATGTTTTTCAGACATTGACACTGAATATAACATTAAAGTCAGGAGTCTGATCTGACATTAATTAACATAGACATCAGGGAGGTACAGCTATTAAGCTGTAGAGATTTATGTATTGATCGTTTTTTGACTTTTTTCTGGTAAATTCACAAACATTTTTTATTGATATTATTTAATTCAACCTAATTTCCAGTTACTATTCACACATCTGGAGTGTTTCTTCAGATATATGAATTTATTATTTTTTCTTCGATATTCTAGTAATAGGGGTTAAGCCCCATATGACACTGCTGGAGTGTCAATAAAGGTGTTTAGTCTATGGAACGGGTAGATTTGCCCTATCCATAGATATATTTTGTTCTTTTGAAATATTGCTCCTCATGTCCTGAGTGCCAGTACAGGGCTCCTTTCAAGACTTTTCGTAGTCCACTTGTACCCTTACCCATAATTGATGTGCCTTTTGAAAGGATCGCTATGGACTTAGTGGGGCCACTGGTAAAGTCTGCTAGGGGACACCAATATATATTAGTCATCTTGGACTATGCAACTCGCTACCCTGAGCAGTGGCGTACATACCAGGGTCGCAGGGGTCGCGGCTGCGACCGGGCCCGGCCCACCAGGGGGCCCGGCCGCCCCTGCGACCCGGTATGTACGCCCAGGGCCAGCCTCTTCCCCTGGAGGGCCAGGAGCCGGCCACCCCAGGGCCCCCCTGAGGCTGGCCCTGCTGACCCCAGGCAGGCGGGTGGCCGGTCCGGCAGGCGGGCGCGCGAGGGTGCACTCAGTGCTTCCTCTTCAGCTCCCTCGCGCACCGCACTGATACCGGAGCCGGAAGATGACGTCATCTTCCGGCTCCGGCATCCCTACGCGGCGCGCGAGGGAGCTGAAGAGGAAGCACTGAGTGCTTCCTCGCGCGCCCGCCTGCCGGACCGGCCACCCGCCCAGCAGCAGCAGCACTGGACCCTAGGGAATCCCCCCAGCACTCCAAAAGGTAAGGAGGCTGGGGGGATTAAATTAAAAAAAAAAAAAAATAGTGTTAGTGTTTGAGTGTGTGTGAGTGTTAGAGTGAGTGTTAGTGTGTGAGTGTTAGTGAGTGTTAGTGTGTGTGTGAGTGTTAGTGTGTGTGTCTGCTAGTGAGTGTTAGTGTGTGTGAGTGGTAGTGAGTGTTAGTGTGTGTGTCTGCTAGTGAGTGTTAGTGTGTGTGTGTCTGCTAGTGAGTGTCAGTGAGTGTGTTACTGTGTGTCTTACTGAGTGTGTGTGTGTTAGTGAGTCTGTTTGATGTCTGTTAGTGAGTGTGTGTTTGTCAATGAGAGTGTATGTTTTGTAAGTGAGTGTGTATGTATGTCTGTCGCTGAGTGTGTCTCTGTCAGTAAATGTGTGTGTCTGTTAGCTAGTGTGTATGCGCCTGTAAGTGAGAGTGTGTGAGTCTTCAGCACTTACCTTTCTCCAGCGCCGGACTCCCTTGGCGCTGAGGATCCCTCAGCCTCTCAGCTCCGAATGCGACCGCGCACGCATTCAAACCGCCCATAGGAAAGCATTACTCAATGCTTTCCTATGGACGTTCACTGTGCTCCTCTAGCGGCTGTCAGTGAGACAGCCACTAGAGGCTGGATTAATCCTCAGTGAAACATAGCAGTTTCTCTGAAACTGCTATGTTTTCAGCTGCAGGGTTAAAACTAGAGGGACCTGACACCCAGACAACTTCATTGAGCTGATGTGATCTGGGTGTCTGTAGTGGTCCTTTAAAGGACCACTATAGTGCCAGGAAAACACTTGTTTTCCTGGCACTATAGTGCCTTGAGGGTGCCCCCACCCTCAGGGACCCCCTCCCGCCCGGCTCTGGAAAGGGGAAAAGGGGTAAAACTTACCTTTTTCCAGCGCTGGGCGGAGAGCTCTCCTCCTCCCATCCTCCTCTTCTCCTCCCCGTCAGCTGTATGCGCACGCGCGGCAAGAGCTGCGCGCGCATTCAGCCGGTCACATAGGAAAGCATTCATAATGCTTTCCTATGGACGCTGGCGCGCTCTCACTGTGAAAATCACAGTGAGAAGCACGCAAGCGCCTCTAGTGGCTGTCAATGAGACAGCCACTAGAGGATTAGGGGGAAGGCTTAACCCATTCATAAACATAGCAGTTTCTCTGAAACTGCTATGTTTATGAAAAATGGGTTAACCCTAGCTGGACCTGGCACCCAGACCACTTCATTAAGCTGAAGTGGTCTGGGTGCCTAGAGTGGTCCTTTAAGTGTGTGTGCATCTGCATGCACTGGCGTACATACTTGTGGTCGCAGGGGTCGCAGCCCTGTAACCCCTGCGACCAGGTGCCCACCGCCATGTGTTGCGGTCCGGCCCGCGCGCGCGGGGGGCCCACGGATCAATTTTCGCACCGGGGCCCCAGGGGTCGTGTGTACGCCACTGACCCTGAGGCCATTCCCTTGCGTAATACCTCTGCAAAGTTAATAGCTAAGGAACTTATGTTGATGTTCAGTAGGGTGGGTATCCCTAAAGAAATCCTGACAGACCAGGGGACCCCGTTCATGTCCAGAGTCACAAAAGAGTTGTGCAGGCTCTTGCAGGTTAAACATCTTAAGACCCCAGTATATCACCCACAGACTGATGGTTTAGTAGAGAGGTTCAACAAAACCCTTAAGAGTATGCTACGCAAGGTAATTGATGCAGATGGAAGAAATTGGGATTTTTTATTGCCATATCTACTGTTTTCCATTAGGGAAATTCCACAGGCCTCCACGGGCTTCTCTCCTTTTGAATTGTTATATGTAAGACATCCCAGGGGAATATTGGATATTGCTAAGGAGACCTGGCAACAGGAGACTACTCCTCACAGGAGTGTAATTGAGCATATAGCTCAAATGCAGGATAGAATGGCCACCATCATGCCTATTGTCAGGGAACACATGCTGGAAGCCCAGCAGGCTCAGAAAAACAGCTATAACCGTAATGCTAGAGTCAGAGTGTTCCAACCTGGAGACAGGGTATTGGTTCTGGTCCCTACTGTGGAGAATAAGTTCCTTGCGACTTGGCATGGACCCTATGAAATAATAGAAAAAGTGAGTGATGTCAATTATAAAGTCAGTCAACCAGGAAGAAGAAAGCCTGAACAGTTGTATCATATAAATCTGTTAAAGCCATGGAAGGACAGGGGGGTCCTGGTTGCTTTAAAACCTTCAGAACCTCCTATAGTAGAGCCAGAGGTGAACGTATCTGAGACTCTGACTGTACATCAAAAGCAAGAGGTCAGAGATCTCATCAGAAGAAATAGGGATGTTTTTTCGGTAGTTCCAGGAAAGACTAAGGTGATTAAACATGACATAATAACTGAACCAGGGAAAAGAGTTAACCTCAAACCCTATAGAATTCCTGAGGCCCGGTGGGAGGTTATAAACTTAGAGGTTGAGAGCATGTTAAAACTTGGAGTCATTGAAGAATCCCAGAGTAACTGGAGTAGTCCTATTGTATTGGTGCCAAAACCTGATGGCACATGGAGGTTCTGTAATGACTACTGCAAGTTAAATGCCATCTCAAAATTTGATGCTTACCCAATGCCCAGAGTTGATGAGTTAATAGAAAGACTGGGTAAAGCTCGTTATCTAACAACCTTGGATTTAACAAAGGGTTACTGGCAGGTCCCTCTCACTGAAAGAGACAAAGAAAAGACAGCCTTTTCAACACCCAGTGGCCTGTTTCAGTACACTGTATTGTACTTGGATGATGTCGTCATCCACAGTGCAGACTAGGAATCCCACCTCCCCAAAGTTCAAGCGGTGCTTGATGCTATTCGCTCAGCAGGCTTAACTGCCAATCCTTCCAAGTGTACGATTGGTTTAGAGGAAGCAAAGTACTTGGGTTATTCTATTGGGAGGGGTTTGGTTAAACCACAGGAAGCCAAAGTCGAAGCCATACAAAAATGGCCACAGCCCCTTACAAAGAAACAAGTAAAGGCATTTTTGGATTTAATTGGATATTATAGGCGGTTCATCCCAGATTTTGCTACCGTTGCTGCACCTCTAACAGACCTTATTAAAGCAAAATCCCCAGTCATAGTTAAATGGTGCCCTGAGGCAGAAAAGGCTTTTAAGAGTCTGAAGGAAGCTATCTGTAGCCATCCTGTCCTGGTGACCCCAGGGACTTTATAGTTCAGACAGATGCTTCTGATGTTGGCTTGGGGGCTGTTCTTTCACAGGAATGCCAGGATGAAGAACACCCTGTTTTTTTTTTTTTGAGCAGGAAGTTAAACCCACATGAGAAGAACTACTCTATTGTTGAAAAAGAGTGTCTTGCTATTAAGTGGGCATTAGACTCTCTTAAATACTACCTGCTAGGCAGAAAGTTCCGATTGATAACGGACCATGCACCTCTGACATGGATGTATCAGAACAAGGAAAATAACTCCAGAGTAACCAGATGGTTTTTGAGTTTACAATCTTTTAATTTCACTGTGGAACACAGGGCTGGTCTGCAACAAGGTAATGCTGATGGGCTTTCGAGGGTACACTCTCTGATTTCCATGGTAGCTCAAACCCATGGGTATGAGCTGGGGGTGAGGATATGTGAGCGTAAAAGTGGAATTGTGGTTGATGGAAGATACATCAGGCCTGATTTGCTAAACAGCAACCTGAGAATTTTCAGTTAAATGCCCTAGGGAGAGATGTTAGAGTTTGCAATCTACATTGCTGAGGTTCTGCAAAACATGGTATGGGTCCCTGGGGCGGAGTATTTGGAGAGCAGGGTGGGCCAATGCTCCAACAGCACTAGTTGCTGTGTAACAGACCACAATTTAGATCTGACTTAAGAGTTAACTAATTGGCACTCACCTGTAGCTAGTCAATTAGTAGACAGGCCTTTAAAAGAAGAGGGCAGCCTGCTGCAGAGTGAGGGAGAAAAAGACAGCTAGGAGAGTGAAATGACAATTGTGTTTACTGCAAAGCCATTTCTTTTGTTTGGAAAATTGGTAAGTACTATTACCCATAGTAATTCCTGTCTAGTAAGAGCAAGGGATTTCGTTTGTTATTATTTAAAGCACCTGTTTTCTTATTGAATAAAAAGGAAAACCGAGCTGAATGTGTCCTGGACTTTGTATACCCTAGAAGGCTGTGGTAACTGCAAGATCTGTGACAATCCTACCTGTAAAAGTGGTGGTTTATTACAATATGTAGTAGTTCACAAGCTGAGAATCATCTCTGTAATGAATAATAATGTAAAGCTTCAATAGAGAAAAAATAACATTGATTTATTATCTGCCACATGCAGGGATAAAATACATAAATACATAAAATAGAATAAGAGTGGTAGAAAAATAGGGTGATAAGCCCCTTACTGGTTTTGTTGGTGAGTATGACAAATATATGTCTACTCACTACAAGAGTTTGTTTATATCAGGGTGGTAGGCAGCACTGTCAGGCGTTCTCCCAGTTTGGCTTGGTAAAACATAAACGTGTGGTGCCGATTGCTGGATAGACCGCTTCCAAACTCCGTGGACTGCAAGCTCCTCCCCCTGTATGACGTCAGCTTGTTCACAGGAGCGGGGCCTGACCGCTGAATGAGTGGGACATGGGTTGAGAGAGCTCCTCAACCTACAAGACTTTATTAACTTCACAAAGGGTGAATCTGCTTAAAATTTCAGAAGACATGGATATCCATCACCTTGTGAGTATCTGGGTAACCTTCCAACTGCAGAGTTTGTGAGTACCTTCGGAGACGAGATACTATGGCCTGCATCTCGATCCCGGGCAGGAGATGCAGCTGGTCTCCTATCTACTTTGCTCCTTGACAGCAGGTGGGGGTTATCTCGGGCTTCACTGGGCTGCACATCAGGGTCCCCTGCATTGTGGAGAGCTGCCACTGCGAGTGCTGAGCTACTGTAAACAAGATTCCAGATGCATTTGACCATGCTACACGAAGCCTTATTGCACAATGGGCAGACCTCGCAACTCTATATCATTGTACCATGGCTCAACTAGATGTAGTTTTGACCACGTTTGAGCGACCTTAGAGGAGCGGATGAAGCTGTGACACTAGGAGAGCGAGGCAAGGCCCGGACAGGTGACTCGACTTCAAGGGCGTAGAGCATTCCACACTTTGCCAGATGGGAAGATCTTGGTCTCAGGGAGATCCTAAGTTTGTGGCAACGTGCTGTTGGTTCTGGACCAGGCCTGGAGCATGGGGAGTACCCCGCCTGGGTGCCGCTGTACTGCTCGCCTCAGTGGACTGCGCACACACACAAGACAGATGCTCAGCCTGGAGATTTGCTGACTGTCCGATTTTATGATCTGGCTGGACATACTTGAAAACGAGAGAAATCTCAATGTATCTTTCCTGGTAAAATATTTTATAAATAAATAAATAATTCTTATTGAGACAGATCTCCTCGGAGGGACTCTCATCTAGGCAACAATGATCCCAGTGGTATATAAGCGACATTCATTCGGTAAACATGTTATAGTTTGTTTTGTTAAGCTCACTTATAATGCCCAAGTTTTCCATATTTTCTTTCTGTAATTTAAAAATGAGATGTTTGTATTTGCCAATATTCTGCTTGATGCAGTCAGGGAATTAACACAGCTTATAATGTTGACAAATAATAGCACTACGTTAGCGTATACACCCTGCTTACATTATCCCACTGCCCATACTTAACTGTTTAGTAGTCATCTTTGCTTTACAGTGAGACATATCTACTAATCATACTCATTGGTGTTATGCAATTTCAGCTATTATAACCTGATGTGTTGATATATTCCACTTTGTGTTTTCTGATACACCTTTTTAACCATCTCAATAAAATTTGATTGACAAAAAAAACTGAAAACTGCTACACATATTAAATATTTCCTTTAAAATTAGTATAGTGTATAGTGTCTCTCTGCAATCCTCTCTCACTGCAATCCTCTGCACACCTCTCTCTATTCAAAAAGCCGAACTAGTTATACGAATGAATGAAAGAATGATATAGTCAACTCATTGCTATTCATTCGGTTATTAGTTCGGCTTTTTGAATTACTACTACTATATTGATTCATTGCAATTCATTCGGTTAGTAGTTCGGTTTTTTGAATTACACAGAGTGCTGTGTCAATTCGCACGGAGTGTAATTCAAAATGCCGAATGAACGAACAAACGAAAGATTTTCGGTAAACGGCCATTCGTTTGTTCGTTCTTTAGTTTGGATACCCATTCTTTATTCGGTATTCGTACGAAAATCAATCCGGACGAATACGAATGCCCAAGTCTACTATACACACACAATTATAATATTTATTATTTAATAAGTGTCCTTAGTTACAAGTCCCAGCTGTCAGTCTGTTGTCCTGCCTCACTTACTTTGAAATACGGTTCAAAACAAAAGGCAAAACAAAATGTTTCTCTATAAAAAGCATTGGCTTAGCTGAGTGAGTCAGTTTGCAATACCTACACAGTAGGTCCGTAATGCTTCTCTATGAAGCAATAGATTAGACCAGAGATTATTAATTCTGATGATCTCAGCAAGGGTGGATTCAGTTGCATCAAGCAGGCTGTTTCATTAATGAAAAAAGGTGAGTTTTTAAAATTGTATCAATTAAATGTGTGCATGGGGGCTTAATCAAAACAATAAGAGGAAAAAATATATATTTTTAACATTGGAGTGTTCCTTTATAGATGGAGCCATAACGTATTGTCCAGCTACCATTAGTCCTCAATAAATCTATGGAGTAAAGAGAAGATTTTTTTTTTGTTTTTGTTTTTTCCTATGAAGCCCTGTGTATCTTATGACCCTATCAATGCCCCATTGCAATACCCCTCTGTTTCTGTCTTTATTTAATTCATGGTTTACAGTCACATTTACTGACTTTAACAGATAACAGCTCTAAAAGTAATGCATATATCATTTATCATAAAGATAACTTGTATATTTTTTACTTTGGGATGTTTATGTTAAAAATCACCTCCTCTCCAGCTCTGCCAACGCTACCATGACAAAGGTTCTCAGTTTCTCCCATCTTCCATCCCCTGCCATATCATTGGCCTTGCTTAGTGAAACATCTTCAAGAAGGGTGTTAGCCAAATAGTCAATACCCTCTGAAAAAAGCTTTATCAATGAACCAGTCAGATACTGGAATAATGGAAGTATAGGATCACGTCTTTATTGCAATAAAACTGGGTCTGAGAGAATTCACATTAAGATCTTAAAGGACCACTATAGTGCAGGGAAAAAAAACTCGTTTTCCTGGCACTATAGTGCCCTAAGGGTGCTCCCACCCTCATGGGCCCCCTCCCGCCGGGCTGAAGTTGGAGGAAGGGATTAAACGCTTACCTTTCTCCAGCGCTGGGCTCCCTGGGCGCTGGGGACTCTCCTCCTCCTTTGGACGTCATCGGCTGAATGTGCATGCATGGAAGGAGCCGCGCACGCATTCAGTCAGTCCATAGGAAAGCATTCTCAATGCTTTCCTATGGACGCTGGCGTCTTCTCACTGTGAAAATTACAGTGAGAAGCACGGTAGTGCCTCTAGCAGCTGTCAATGAGACAGCCACTAGAGGCTGGATTAACCCATATGTAAACATAGCAGTTTCTCTGAAACTTCTGTTTACAGCAGGCAGGGTTAACCCTAGAGGGGCCTGGCACCCAGACCACTTCATTGAGCTGAAGTGGTCTGGGTGCCTATAGTGGTCCTTTAAATATATACATGATATCAGTGAAAGAATTAAAAAAAAAGTAATTTTTTTTTATCTACTAGGCTTAGCGTACATATTTTTTGTCTGTTCTTCCATATAGAAAGTAGACTCTTCTGATTGGGAGAAGAGTAATTCCTCACATTGGGAGTAGGACTCTTCACACACCTGCTGGCCTTAAAAACATTAGTTACAAACTGTGAATGTTTTGTTACAAAATAATTATACTGCTAAGAAATTATACTGCTAAGCATAACATATTGCTTAGTAACTCTTCTATTACCAGACAGCAAGCTTACACAATATATCAGTTGGATTATACAGGTTTGCATTTTAGCGTTACATAACTATATGCATCTACCTTATCATTATCGCTCATAAAGGGACACTACAGTCACAGAAACAACTTTAGCTAAATGAAGCAGTTATGTGTATAGAGTCTGCCACTGAAGTTTCATTGCTCAAATCTTTGCCAGTGAGTTAAACCACTTTTGTTTCTGTTTATACAGCCCTAGTAACACCTCCCCTGACAGTGATACAGCCTTCATGAAAACAAAATGGTTTTCATTTTC